GCCAGGAGTTTCTTTGGGGTCTCCCATGTGGATGCAGGGGCCCAAGTACTTGGGCCATCTTCTGCTGCTTTCCCAGGCACATTAACAGGGAGCTAGATCAGAAGTAGAACAGCCAGCATTCAAAGTGGCGCTCATATGGGATGCTGGCACTGCAGATGGGGGCTTAACCGGCTGCACCACAGCACCAGCCCCTTCCATGGGCCTTATACTGCCCCCTGGGCCAGATGTTCCCCACCCCTGAAACAGTCACTGTCAGGTAAAATTGGAACTTTTCCAGGGAAATGTTAAGAGAATTTTAATTCAGGTCTGTTCTCCCCATTGTTCCCTGCTTCTGGTTGAGGATACAGCACAGAGTAAACTATACTCAGAGATGGATCAGGTGACAGAAGACTGAGTTGCGAGAGGCCACTGAGCTTTCTGAGGCCAGTTGCCTAAACCAACTGGTTCTCCTGGCCAGGGCAATCGACATCTCGGATGGTAGTCTTGTCCCGACAATAAGGCCCTGTGGAAGAGTGGCATCGATTTGATGTAGAATAGAATTTGTTGAACATTTCCACGCAGACACAACATGCTTCCAAGGCATCCGTGACCCTGCCTGCAGCCTGTAGCTTTCTGTATACTTTATAAGGGAGGACTTCTGCTTCTTCTAGATCCAAATTACAAACATATTTTGTAGGGTGGCAATATTATTAGTGTCTGGCCCCTTGAAAAAGACAAGGCAATAGCTGCCCCCCCCCATATATACATTCTTGTAAGTTTGTTAAATATTCGTATCTTTGCTTTGTATCCAGAGGGCCACAGGCTCCCAGAGGCCAGCATGATGAGAAGAGGCTTATGTGATCAGGAAGTTCTTCATGGGGCCATGGAGCACAGACGAGGCCCTGGCTCCTTTTCCTAGACTCACACCCACTTCTGCAAAGACATTGGTTCATTACCGGACATTCACTCTCCTTTTGTTTTGTCGTGGCTAAAAGACTACATTTCCCAGCTTCTCTGCAGTAGAGATACTATTGAGATCTAAAGAGATGCTGGGTGATCAGCATTGTCACATAAAATACATAATGTCCACCTGAATTTGGTAAACAATGAATAACTTTTAGTTACAAGTCTGTCTGTCTGTCTATTTATCTATCCTTATTATCTACCCAGATCCCATGTAACAACTTGTATTTTCACTTGCCGAATCTTGCAGCTCTATGTGTCTTTGGGAAGCTTTTTCCTTTCTCTTCTTTCCTGAGATAAGGATGAGATAATTGGAGTTTCAGCAACTTTCTCAGATCATGAGGTTAAAGATAGCAGAAGAGAAAGAGGACTTGGGTCCCTCATGACTGCATACTTTCAGACTTGCCTTGCCTTGCCTTGCCTTGCCTTGCCTTGCCTTTTCTCTCTCTTTTCAAAAAATATTTATTTATTTGAAAGGCTAGGTTACAGAGAGACACAGAGAGCTTTTCCATCATCAGGTGGCCACAATGAGTGGAGCTGGGCCAGTCAGAAACCAGGAGCTTCTTCCAAGTATCCCACGTGGATGCAGGGACCTAAGGACTTGAGCCATGTTCTGCTGCTTTCCCAGGGCAGTAGCAGGTAGCTGGATTGGAAGTGGAAGAGCTAGGACTTAAACCGGTGCCCATACAGGATGCTGGTGTTGTTGGCCATTCTCTGCTATTTTCCAGGTTCATTAGCAAGGAGCTGGATCGGAAGTGGAGCAGCTGGGACTCGAACCAGTGCCCATATGGGATACCGGCATCACAGATGATGGCTTCACCCACTCCGCCACAATGCTGGCTCTTTCTTTTTTTGATTTGTTAGTTATGTTTTTACATATATCTTTGAATTTTTAATTGACACAATTGTAAATATTTGTAGGATCCAGTGTGACATTTTAATACATGTGGACAATGTGTAATCAGTGTAATCAGCATTTATTACCTCAAAAACTTATCATTCCTTGGTGTTAAGGAAACTCCAAATCCTCTTTAGCAGTTATTATTTTTAAAAAATTTATTTTCTTTATTTGAAAGGCAGAGTTTCAGAGAGAGAGAGAGAGAGAGAACTTCCATTGGCTGATTCACTCCCTAAATGGCCTCTATGGCTAGGCTTGGGCCAGGCTGAAGCCAGGAGATTCATCCAAATCTCCCACATGGGTGCAGGGACCCAAGGGCTTGGGCCATGTTCTGCTGCTTTCCAGGGCATTAGCAGGGAGCTAGATCAGAAGCAGAGCAGCTGGTACCCATACAGGATGCTGGTGTTCCTGGCAGTGGCTTAACCCTCTATACCACAATGCCAGCTTAGCAGTTATTTTGCAGTAATTGTTGTCAACAATAGGTACTGTGATATACAATATTAGAAATTATTCCTCCTATCCAGCTGTACTCGTTCTTCAGACATTCTTATTTATATGAATAAACCATTATTTATCTTTGGCTTCTTTGATTTGCATCCTCTTGGTATTCTTAGCCATAACAAAGAGTGTATTGTTATTTTTGGTGTTTGGTTCAGTCTGTTTACCATATGTCATGTTGGCTTTGCCTCTTATGCTTCACAAACCATTCTACTTCTACTTGCTATATTTTTTAAGAACCCCAAGAGGGATGGATAGTTTTGCTTAAGTCTTTTGAAATGAGCTTCTACATGGTGCTATTACCCGATTCTTTTACAAACTACATTTAGATATTTTGTGTACTAGTAATAATAACACTTCTATAACTGAACAGTTCTTAGCTCTGCAAAATGTCCGAAGAAATTATATCTTGAAATCCCAGAACCGTATTGCAAAACAGGATTGATAGCTTCCTTTATACAGTGTAAAGTTTATCTAGGGATGGTTACGTGTACAAGAAAAGTGAAATTTATAAAGACCATCACTAATTCAGGAGTGACAGAAAGTCTAACTCCCTTAGCCTTGTTAACAAGTTGGCTGCTTTGAATGTTCACTGTGAGGCATTGTTCTAAATGGAGGGGTTCATTGAAGTAGCCTGTTGGCATGTGAGCCCCAGCTGACTGCCTTAGCATGACTGGTTATGCAGGGGAGAGAAGTTACCTGGGCTATGAACTGTTAAATACTTCCCCTCCCCTTCTTAGTGGAATATTTCGAAGGTTAAGTAACCATAAATAATCAACTAAGATTTCTCAGATTGGCTGGGTTCACCTTTCTCTGAAAACTGTTTTTCCCTTGTGAAGACAAAGCAACTTGGGAATGAACACAGTATTTCCTTTTAGGATTCCTTGCCTCACAAGTTCAGAGAATAAGATGGGGCCTGGTCTGGCTGGCAGAGACTTCCTGGGGGAGAGAGCTAGACCCTGTGGTGTTGCTGAGGGGGCAGCCAGTTAGAATTTAATAGAATAGAGGGCCAGAAAATACCATGGTGTTGGGTGCATTTCTGTACAGGCCCCTCAGCAACATCCGTCAGCAAGAAAGGGGTGAGCAGAGTCTTGTCCCCTAACCCTGATCCGGGAGGCGAGGGGCCAAGTCCTGAACTATGAGTAGGAGTTAATAACACAAAGCGTCAGGCCGGCGCCGTGGCTCAATAGGTTAATCCTCCACCTTGCGGCGCCGGCACACCGGGTTCTAGTCCCGGTCAGGGCGCCGGATTCTGTCCCGGTTGCCCCTCTTCCAGGCCAGCTCTCTGCTATGGCCAGGGAGTGCAGTGGAGGATGGCCCAGGTGCTTGGGCCCTGCACCCCATGGGAGACCAGGAAAAGCACCTGGCTCCTGGCTCCTGCCATCGGATCAGCGCGGTGCGCCGGCTGCAGCGGCGGCCATTGGAGGGTGAACCAACAGCAAGGGAAGACCTTTCTCTCTCTGTCTCTCTCTCTCACTGTCCACTCTGCCTGTAAAAAAAAAAAAAACAAAAAAACAAAAAAAAACACAAAGCGTCAGACAACATGCAGATGCAGAGCGATTAACCTAGATGACTGGGCCTTGGTATCTGATGCTAGGTCATGATATCATGACAGTTAGCTCAGAAGAGATGCTAGATGAGTCCATTTGTCTGCATCTATATTACAGATGCAAATAAAAGTTGGATGAGTGTGAGTTGGAAGGAAAAGCAAAGGCTTTCTGTCCATTAGCATTATCTTCACAGGGTGAAGGCATAAAAGAACTTACTTGCTGTGTCCAGGGTCTAGTATGCCAGTTGCTGGGAATGCATCCACTTTTACAATGTTGATGCCAAAAAGGATGACAATGCCTTTGAACTCCACAAGAAGGCTAGAATTTCACAAGGTCCCTGTATTCTGTACTCTGAACAAAGAGCACTGCCGGGGCTGGCCACCTCCCTTGTCCTGTGATCTCCCTAACCAAAGTGCAGAAAACATCTTGATAGGCAAGTTGGCAACAATTTTTTTTTAAATCTTTGTTTACTTTGTTATAAGTATTATAGTAAACATTGGTAGAATGTTTTATGTTAGAAACCTGTTCTCAGCTACTAAATAAGAATGACTTTAAGTATTTCATTTCTTTGGGATTAAATTCGAACATTTATAAAATCAAGTGACAGAAAGTTGAACTAAAATGATTTAATGAATCCTGGTTTAAGATAAGTGATAGGATGTTAACAGGAAGAGTCACATGTTAGATACAAACTGTATGACCTCAAACTACTTGTTAAACCTCCTAAAGTCTCTGATTTCTTGAAAGATTTGTTAATTTGAAATGCAGAGTTACAGAGAGAGGGAGAAACAGGAAGGGAGGGATGGAGGGAGGGAAGGATGGGGGGGAGAGAGAGAGAGAGAGAGAGAGAGAGAGAGAGAGAATCTTTGATCCCCAAACCGACCCAATAGCCAGGTCTGGGCCAGTTCGAAGCTAGAATCCTGGATCTCCATCTGCGTCTCCCATGTGGGTGCAGGGGTCCAAGTACTTGGGCCATCTACTGATTTACAAGGTATATTAACAGGGAGCTGGTTTGCAAATGGAAATGCCAGGAGTCAAACTGGCACTCATATGGGATCCTGGTTTTGCAGGCAGTGGTTTAATCCACTGTGCTACTATGCCATGCCCCCCCCCCCAATATGAGATGCTTCATGAATTTGCATGTCATCCTTGTGCATGGGTCATGCTAATCTCTGTACCATTCCAATTTTTGTGTATGTGCTGCCAATGCGAGCACAAAGTCTCTTAAATTCTTAATTTCCTTATTTTGGAAATAGAGATGATGTGGTATTTGCTGCGAGGATAAAATTGATTAATGACTAATACAGCTGGTTCAATGCAGGGCACAATAGAAACTCCCATTGTATGTAGCTATTTTTTTTTTCAAGGTAAAAAAGTATTTAAATCCTTGATTGTTCATTTGTATATCTGCATACAGGCAAATGAAGGGTTTTCAAAAAGTTCATGGAAAGCATACATTATGAACAAAATGCATTTCAATTTTTTTTTACCAAAATAAACTCATCATTAATTCCATTGTCCACGAACTTGAAATGCCCTCATATGTGTATATGTACATATATTCATTTCTATTATTATTGATTTCTCAGTAAATGGTTGATCTAAAAGTATTTGGTGCATAAACAAGGACCTGATGTCTTTTTCTTTTTGTCTGGTATCTTTTTCTTTTTACAACTGTGGGGAGCAATTCGGACTAGACTAAGTTACTGGAATTAAGACTTATTCTATGCATCTGCTCTCCCACAATATGGCGCTGGGAGAGGAGAAAACAGCTTCTACACAGCTGCCTCCAGTTCAACCAATAAACTGTGGGACCTGCTCCTGATTGGAGGAGAGCAGCGTACTCGGCGTGTGGGTAGCAGAGTTGGGATTGGTGGAAGAGGACTATAAAGGAGGAGAGAGACGGCATGCACGAGGAACATCTAAGGGGAACATCCGAAGGAACACCTGTGCAGCCCCCGAGAGAGCCGGCCGGCGGTGTGCCGCTCCCCCGCGGAAGTGGGGAATGTGGCCAGGGGGAACCGCCCTTCCACGGAGGTGGAAGGGACAGTAGCCAACCCGGGAAGAACCAGCAGCAAACCCGGGAAGGGCCGAGCAGATGAAAGAACAGCGCAGGGTTTAGTGTCGTTCCTCCACGAAGAGGGGGAGCGACAACAACAACATTTAGAGCAGATTCCAGGAATTTACGATTTTATTTTATTTTATTTTTTTTTTATTTTTGACAGGCAGAGTGGACAGTGAGAGAGACAGACAGAGAGAAAGGTCTTCCTTTGCCGTTGGTTCACCCTCCAATGGCCACCGCGGCTGGCGCACTGCGGCCGGCGCACCTCGCTGATCCGATGGCAGGAGCCAGGAGCCAGGTGCTTTTCCTGGTCTCCCATGGGGTGCAGGGCCCAAGCACCTGGGCCATCCTCCACTGCACTCCCTGGCCACAGCAGAGAGCTGGCCTGGAATTTACGATTTTAAACACTGATTCTGTATCATTGGAATCTCATTCTGGTTTATAGTATCTCTCCTCCTCTCTGCCCTCCGCTGGGTCCAGTGTGGCAGAGAGGAGGGACCAGCATCTCTTACCAGCTCCTCCCAGCTTCCACATAGCTTTAGCCCTTACTCTAGTTGTGTCAGGGCCAACATTGCTGGGGTGTTGGTGTTCCTGTGTGACAGTTGCTTGTAGGCTGGTGGCACATTGTAGGTCTATGGGGGACTCCATGGGGTCTCCTGATTGTGCAGTTCAGTGACCTGGAAGATCTGTCTCTGGATAGATTTCCTCCACCTCCCTCAGGTACGCTCACAGCCTGTCAACCAGGCTCTATCTCTTCAGCAGGTAACCATTTGTCTCCATACAATGTGTAGTTTTATGGGGACTGTGAGATGCATTTCAAAAATAATCCTATTGCCATTAGGTAACTTAAGCAATTAATCCCTGTGATATTTCTTTCTTTCCCTGTTTCTGGAACACTCTACCATTGATCATTGTTGATCTACTTTTCTGGTTCTCTCACTTGGCCTGCAGCTTTTATATCCCCATGGACCACTACTTGAGGGTATATTCTGCCTTTTCAACTGCATCAGGACTTATGCCTCCAGACAAAATGTGGGCCTCATGCTGCTTGGTTTCAACACAGGCTCACACTTGACCGTATGATCCATTCTACACATCCAGCAAAAACTATGAGTGCCTCCCTACTACTTGCAAAGTATCAGCGGTGGCTCTTTTTTTTTTTTTAAGACTTATTTATTTATTTGAAAGTCAGAGTTACATTGAAAGAGGAAAGGAGGGAGGGGAGAGAGAGAGAGAGAGATGTCTTCTGTCAGAGGGTTCACTCCCCAATTGGCCTCAATGGCTGGAGCTGCACTGATCCAAAGCCAAAAGCCAGGAGCTTCTTCCAGGTCTCCCACATGGGTGGAGGGGCCCAAGGACTTGGGTCATCTTCTACTGCTTACCCAGGCCATAACAGAGAGCTGGATTGGAAGTGGAGTAGCCAGGTCTCGAACCGGCACCCATATGGGATTCTGGCACTTCAGGCCAGGGCGTTAACCCGCTGCGCCACAGCACCAGCCCCATTTTTTTTTTTTTTTTAAGATTTATTTATTTATTTGAAAGTCAGAGTTACACAGAGAGAGGAGAGGGAGAGCGAGAGCGAGCGAGTGAGAGAGCGAGAGCAAGCAGTAGCTCTTAAGCAATTGCTATTCTAATAGGGGAGAGAGGCAGAAAGCACTGCGATGACCTGGTGACACTTTCTGCTCTGTGCCAGAGGGTCCTGCCTTGTGCAATCTCCTCTTCTCTCCATATGATTGTTAGGATGGAAAGATGATTAGAAGAGAAGTTAAGGCCGGCGCTGCGGCTCACTAGGCTAATCCTCCGCCTAGCGGCGCCGGCACACCGGGTTCTAGTCCCGGTCGGGGCGCCGGATTCTGTCCCGGTTGCCCCTCTTCCAGGCCAGCTCTCTGCTGTGGCCAGGGAGTGCAGTGGAGGATGGCCCAAGTGCTTGGGCCCTGCACCCCATGGGAGACCAGGAAAAAGCACCTGGCTCCTGGCTCCTGCCATCGGATCAGCGCGGTGCGCCGGCCACAGCGCGCTGGCCGCGGCGGCCATTGGAGGGTGAACCAACGGCAAAGGAAGACCTTTCTCTCTGTCTCTCTCTCTCACTGTCCACTCTGCCTGTCAAAAAAAAAAAAAAAAAAAAAGAGAAGTTAAGAACTCTGGCCTCAGAATCAGCCCTTAAGGCATGCGGATCTGGCTGAAAAGCCCATGAGAGTATTTCAGGCATGGAAAGCCAAGACACTGTGGCAAAAGAAAAAAAAAATGAAATGACCTAAATGAAAGATCTCTGCGAGTGAGATCCCAGTGGAAAGAATAGGTCATCAAAGAACGAGATACCTTTCTCTGAAGGGAGGAGAGAACTTCCACTTTGACTATGACCTTGTCTAAATATGATCAGAGTTGGCAAACTCAAAAGGCTTCCATAGCCTTGGCAACTCATGACAAGAGCCTAGAGTGACTACTGACACCATAAACAAGAGTGTCAATTTGTTAAGTCAACAACAGGAGTCACTGTGCACTTACTCCTCATGTAGGATCTCTGTCCTTAATGTGCTGTACATTGAGATTTAATGCTATAACTAGTACTCAAACAATATTTTTCACTTTGTGTTTCTATGTGGGTGCAAACTGTTGAAATCTTTACTTAATGTATGCTAAACTGATCTTCTGTATATAAAGATAATTGAAAATGAATCTTGATGTGAATGGAAGGGGAGAGGGAGTGGGAGAGGGGAGGGTTGTGGGTGGGAGGGAAGTTATGGGGGGGAAAAGCCATTGTAATCCATAAACTGTACTTTGGAAATTTATATTCATTAAATGAAAGTAAAAAAGAAGAAGGGAAGCTAAGAGATAGGTAGATAAATAGATGGATAGACAGACTGACAGACCAACAAAATTCCCTTTCATAGCAAGTCTCCTCCCATCAGCCCTCATGACCTAATCGCCTCTTAACGATTCCAGCTCTCTGAACATTATTGCATTGGGGATTGAATTTCTAACTATTTTAAGCTTGAGGGACAGTCTCAAACTGCCACACTCTGCACGAGTGCTGCGGTAAGATTCTACATGCTTTATCTCATTAAATCTTCACCCAGTCGAGGGTGAGGTATCAGCCAAGTGAGTTTGCCAATGTTACTGCCCCATTATACAGATGAGGAATGGATTCTAAAAGGGCTCTGGCCCATTGTCCACACATAGTGAGAAGCCCAGCTCTACTGAGAATTTGATCTTCATTGCTCAATGAGATTGAGCACTTACCATGAGCTAATGGTATGTTAAACATGTTTCAGATAAGTGTTTTACTTGCCTTTTTAAATATTTATTTATTTATTTGAAAGAGTTTCACAGAGAGGAGGAGAGGCTAAAAGAGAGAGAGAGAGGTCTTCCATCTGCTGGTCACTCCTCAATTGGCTGCCTCCTCTGGGTCTCCCAAGCAGGTGCAGGGGCCCAAGGACTTGGGCCATCTTGTACAGCTTTCCCAGGCCAAAGCAGAGAGCTGGATGGGAAGTGGAGCAGCTAGGACATGAACCAGCTCCCAGATGGGATGTCGGCACTGCAGGCACAGCACTGGCCCTTACTTACCTTTTCAATTCTTCTAAGGTTATTATCAAATCCAACCAAAGTGTAAACCTGATAAGAACTTGGACATGATTATATAGCAAGATAATAAACTACTAGAATGTAAGTCTTTGGAGGGAAGGGAGCCTATGTTTTCCATCTTTCACACCCAGATGTAGCACAATGCCTCAGAGTTAGGAGAGGTTTTGTAAATAATGTTTGTTAAATTAGTGAATGCTGCATGTAGATATAAAAGAAACTAAACATAAAAAATGGTAGTCTAAATCAGGAGTGGGGAAGCTTTTTTCTGCAGAGGGCCATTTGATAGTTATAACATTATTTGTGAGGCATATAAAATTATCAGCTTAAAAACTAGCCTGCTATAGATTCATTAAATTTCAAGTCCAGTCTGCAGTTGCTTTGTCAGGGCCAGAACAAATTATTTTGTGGCCTCATACACCAGGAAGGCTAGACTTGCCCCTCTCCTGGTCTGAGTGAATCCATATTCTTGGCAGAGACTAAAAGGGGTTGGGAGAGGAAGAGAGATAATGACAAATAGGATAGAAAGAAAAGGCTGCATGGATCCTGTTGGATTTGAATGGACTTGGAATATG